TCAGGGCTGTCCAAACTCGGTCCTGGAGGGCCGGTGTCCTGCAGAGTTTAGCTCCAACCCTAATTAAACACACCTGAACCAGCTAATCAAGCTCTTACTAGGCATAGAAACTTCCAGTCAGGTGTGTTGAGGCAAGTTGGAGCTAAACTCTGCAGGACACCGGCCCTCCAGGACCGAGTTTGGACAGCCCTGATCTAGGGTACATGTGTGGTCATTCATAATTGGCATAATCCCGCCCACAAATTACATTAACGTGAATTATGTGTTCAGGGACGCTGATTGTCCTCTGGTTTGGCTTCAGTATATTGCATAAATTCTAAAGAAATTAATTTAAAAATTCTTAAATTAAAGTATTAAGATATAGACAAATACTGCTTGAGCTCAGAACAATTGTAATCCATAATAAAAAGGAAAAAATAGTAAAAAATGGTAAATAGTGTTATCAAAATGCAGTGTCGGCAGTTTTCTTAAAAAATAAAAGTAATGCATAAACTAAAAACTAAAAGTATACATTTTTTTCATGCAAATATGAACGTTTATGCATCCAAAAACATCAGAATGGCTTTACGCATAATTTACACACTAAATTCTGCTTGTGTTTCATTAAATGAAGTCCATTATGTGGAAAAAAGCAGCCAGGACTTTAAGCTAAATGTCTCCTTTTGTCCAGAAAGTAAAGCATACATGTTTTAAACGACTTAGGGTGTGTAAATAACATCAGAATTGGCATTTTTGGCTGAACTAACCCTTTAAATAGTTAGAAAACCACTTTTAACCCTGCAGTTATCAAGCATGTTGTCAGTCGTGCACCAGAACACAGTTTACTCACTGAAATAACAGCCCTCGTCAACCAGTACATGCCTGTTGTTAATAAATACACAGTGTAATATATTCCTAACACATGTAGGAAACGCAACACCGGTCGCAGAGAGTGTGTGAGCGTTTTTGTCAGATTTGTGTGCCATATTGCCTGATTTTCCTACAGTCTTGACTGTTGTCCTCCTCTGCTTTTCTACAATAAAATCTAAACTCATGTATCGGCTGTAGACGTGTGTTTTATCGCTAGTTTAGTTGTGTGTTTGAGTCTCAGAGTCACAGCTTTATATTGGGTAGATAGATGGCACCTCAATTTGATTTATCATTCATATTTTTAGCACAAACAGTACAGGACAATTTATAGGGGTTCGTTCAGATCACAATAACACAAAGCATGTGCAATAACAGCCACTACTAATACTTCAGTTCACTCACAGTGCCAGACTAGTTGACGTTGAATTTCTAGTTTGAGACAGACAGGTTTTGAATGATTTTTCCATCTCTCCTCTTCTTCCATCTTTTTTTTTTTTTTCAAGTTTCCAAAGGTCATGACTTTACTTTCATCTTGATTGAAGTCCTTCCTTAGTTGCACATTACCTGTTTTATTGGAGTTCCTTCATTTTTAAGGAATAGTTCACTCAGAAATTAAAATTTGCTGAAAAATGTGCTCACCCTGAGGCCATCCAAGATGTAGATGAGTTTGTTTCTTCATCAGATTTGGAGAAATGTAGCATTGCATCACTGTCTCAGCAATGGATGCTCTGCAGTGAATGGGTGCCGTCAGAATGAGAGTCCAAACAGCTGATAAAAACATCACAATAATCCACAAGTAATCCACACCACTCCAGTCCACCAGTTAACATCTGGAGAAGTGAAAGCTGTGTGTTTGTAAGAAACAAGTCATCATTAAGATGTTTTAACTTTAAATTGTTGCTTTCAGCTCAAATACAAGTCCATTATATCCATAATAACGCTTCCTCCAGTGAAAAAGTGGTCTGGTCTGAATCAAGAGAAATCTGCACAGATCAAGCCAAATCAGCTCCAAACAAATATGCGGCTGGATTTTGAAGTGAGAGACAACAGGAGATGGACTTTTTCAATGGAGGAAGCATTATTATGGATTATGGGCTCGTATTTTAGCCAAAAGCGATGTTAAAATGCATTAATGATGGATTTGTTTCTTACAAACATGCAGCTTTTGGCTTCTTAAGACATTAACTGATGGACTGGAATGGTGTGGATTACTTGTGGATTATTGTGATGTTTTTATCAGCTGTTTGGACTCTCGTTCTGACGGCACCCATTCACTGAAGAGGATCCATTGCTGAGCAAGTGATGCAATGCTACATTTCTCCGAATCTGTTCTGATGAAGAAACAATGTTGAATTTGGCCTGAAACTTTCATTTTTGGGTGAAGAACTATTCCTTTGATCATTTAATTTTTTTAATTATGTTGATTTTATCATTTTGTTTCTCCATTGACACAAACTTTTCGTCCCTATTTTGTTCGCCCCTGCTGTGTGTGTGTGTTTACGGCCGCAGAGCCAGCTGTGTCTCCCTCTGCACATCCTGGAAGAGAGAGGTTTGCCTCAGGTGGCCGGGACGGTTCGTGCCCTCCTGGATCTGGCCCCTCCGAAACACACGCCCTCCCCCAGCACGACCCGGACCGGGCCCAGCACTGCCTCCCCCCTCGCGCTGTAGGACCGAGAGCTAAAGGAGTCTCCTCCCATCAGGCCCAAAGATCTTTAAGACTCCTTTCTGTTCTGTTCTTGAGTGACACACGAACGGTTCTGTAACGGTAACACACTCACACACTACCTGCTCTGTGAACACACACGCTCTTCAAACCCCAGCCAGCCCTCAGACAACACAGGGGAGAAGAGAAGAGATGACTGACGGGACCGACAAACATGTCCAGAGACTTCTTTGAAGCTATATTTCTATTTCGTTTTAACAGTTAGGTTTACACTTTAATATCTCTAACTATTATGGGTGGTGTTTATTTTTATTTTGTATTATTATTATTGACTCTCAAGTTATGTGACGAATGAGAGTTCACGTATCTGAGAGTTACTTTGGCTGGTGGTTTAATCTCACAAAACCTGTGCAGGTCACATTTCACATTAAATAAAATAAGATATTATACTTACAGAAATTGAAACACATTTTTTAGGACCATTATGATTTTTGTGACATTATTTTCATGACGTACAAAACAAGTTCTCATTATCACAATGCAAAAATGTAATGCAAAGGAAAAACATTTTAAACAATTTTTTTATTTGAATAATTTTTTGCATAATAATACATTGAAAAATGTTCAATAATAAAGAAAATTATGTATTTAAATAAACTTTTTTTAAAATATTTTTTTGAAAAAGCTGGTTTTCATTTAAATAAACTTTGCATTATAAATTTTAAATAAAATGTAAAAAATGTAAATAAATTTACTTTGCATTATACTGCAGTGAAAAATATTTTCAAATATTTTTTCTCAAATTCTCATGGTGTATTGTTATTATGATATAATGATATATTATTTAAATTGTAAAGTATTTGAATTTATGAAATTAAATTACTTACATTTATTAAAATAACTTTATACATTTAATTTATTAAATTAACTTTATACCTTTAATTCAAGAGGATTTAAATAATCATTGTATTGGCATATCTGTACTGTATTACTGTAATGAGAATAACTATTGAATAATGAGAATTACTCATTAAAAAAATAAAACGTCAGAATGCATCATGGCAATGAGAATTTGAGCAGGAAATGAATTCATTTTTATGAAAGTAATGTCATAATGCAAAACATATAAATAAAACCTTGACATAGGCTTTTTTCTTATTTATTTTAGGTGAAGTGTGGCGTGTTTCCGTGAGATTCAACTGTGAGCGTTTAAATAGCAGAAAAACAATCCAGACCAGCATGTAATGCTGAATGACACTAATTCACAGCGGTCCTAGATTAACACATGAGGGGTCCAGACTGAGATCTGATCTGCTGAGCATTTCTGTCAGGAGTTTTAGTGTGTAGCCACAGGGTTTTTTTCTAATGACAACTTTTAGTGCTACTTTTAGTACTACAATGGCACGAGAAGAAAACTATTAAAACTTAAAGAGCTCACAGACTTTATTGACCTTGTAAAATTGAGAGGCATATTAAAGTGCTATAGCAATGTTTAGCATGATGGGCACAAATATATGTAAAGACGTTTGAAACACAGTAAATGAATAAAACACTTGTTATATTTTTATAGCCTTGGTCGTGTCGAGCTGATAGAGCGCCGAGGGCTGATTTCTATTGCTGTTGTGTGTTTATATGTAACTGGTTTTGCATGCGTGGGATTCTGGGTGTTGGGAGTTGGACTGAAATGGGACGGCAGTATAAAAGCTGTTTTTATGTGATTTCCTTTTTATTCAGATTGTTACATTGCCACCGTTGCGTGGCTTTGCTTATGAATTGTCTGCCAACACAACACACATCTCATCCGTGGCCCAGAGCTCTGTGTGTGTGTGTGTGTGCCTGAAAAGCACAGATGTTGTTCACTCGTTTAGGCTGTTGTCTTTGCCGAGGCAGTGCCACACGCTGTTACTTCCCACACATGCTGCATCACGCCAGAGTGACTGGAGTGAGTCCTGGACCCAGTGCTGGTTTCCACGCTCAAACCTGGGCCAAGTGTACGAGGGTGAAGCTCACGAACAAGAGCATGACCAGGTCATTTCACCCCAAAATCAAACGAAATCAATTATATTGACTTATTTTTCATGACAATTAAGCACATTTTTACTGCATGCTTAAAAACAAGTTAAAACAGGTTTATTTAAGTAATGCACAATAATGCAGTGAGAGTGTTTTAAAACAAGTTTTTTTTTTTTTTTTGCATAATTATGCTTAGAATTTTTTTTCTTTGTAGACTTAATTGTCTCTGCATTATAATGTGGTGGGAAAGAAAATTTAAAACAAGACAATTTTTCCCACTGCATTATAATGCAAAAATAATTATGTATTTAAAAAAAATTAAACATGTTTTTTCCATTCAAATAATAAATAATAATACAGTATAATGCAGTGGGGGGGGGGAAAGAAACATTTTAAAACAAGTGTTTACTGCATTATAATGCGGAGAAAAATATTATTTAAATAAAAGCTTTTAAACTTTTAATTTAAATAATTTTCTTAGCATTATAATTCAGTAAAAAACTTTTAAAATGTTTTTTCACCCACTATGATGCCTTCATCATTCATTATAATGAAAAAAATACAAGACTTTTTCACTTCATTATAATGCAAAGAAAAGAACATTTTATTCCCCCCCCCCCAATAAAATTGAATTATGTATTATTTAAATTAAAAATATTATTAAATATTAAGTCTTCAAATAGTATTTTTTATATAAAATTCAAAAATGAAATAGAATGAGAATCACCATAATGAATCGTTTGAATTACAATAAAGTAAACCACTTTGCTGACAAGAATTATTAAAAAAAAAACATTTTAATTAAAGAAATAAACATTTGGTGCAAAAATTTGCTTATTTATTATGAAAATAATATAACAGACAAAAAAACAACATTTTTTTTTTCATGAGATTCACTCATAGGGTCATGAACGTGCTGCGTTATTTATGTGGATTTCAAAGATAATAATGCAGCATTTACAAAACTCATCATCTTTAATATGACTGATAAAAGAAAATATTGAGAGAGGAAGAGTGTAGAAAACTGAATCATTTAAGTTACTGTTTCAACTTGCTTTTTTAGAGACTTTAAAAGGGGAGTTAAAAGCGGTATAAAAAATATATAACGAAAGGTTCTGTATAGATATTTTTAGTATGTTTGTTTTTTGTTTTCTCTATAAAATCAATTCTTTGACTAGGGTTATTATTTCCCCAGCACAGATCATGTAGTTTCTTCTGCAGGGTTTGTCCCTGCGTGTCTGTACAGTAAATAAATACATTCCATACGTTTACAAGTATGAACCACTATCCACCTGAAACAGGACCTACTGTGCGCTTTCAGACAACCCCAACATTTGCCCGAACATTAGCGGTTTTTATTTTCACAGCGGTGTTGTTTTTGAACACTTTTCCCTGCAAAACATTTGCTGTAAAGTTTTTATGTTGGAAAAAAAGATGGTCTGAATATTTGTGAAATACATGAATAAAAAGTTTCCCATTTCTGCAGTGGTTTCGTTTATTTGGACTCTTGCGATTGGATTTGGATGCAACAGTGTCTCATTTGACAGGTTTTTATCGTTGTTTTGAGATTCTGCAGGTCAAGTATATTTTACTTTTACATTTACATATACATTTGTATAGTAGCACATTTTGACCGTGGTCACAGGCAAATGTGCTAGTTTTCCTCATCTCACGTTTCAGTCTCTTTCTTCTCATGCAATAATTTAAACACAAATCTGTATTTTATCTTCAGCTCATTTTATTTGAAAAATGTTTAATTGTTATTGACTAGCTTCTGTACTTCTGATTGTTGGACCTTTTTTTTTTTTTTTTCTCAAAGGAGCAAATGTTTTTGCTGCTTTTTGACCATGTGTTTCCCATTATTCACATTTCAAAGCCTTCAAGGCCTTTTTTGGTTTGTTTTGGTGCAATGGCAGTGAGTGACCGATCAGTGTTTTGATTGGTTTGTCACTGAACAGGTGTTTTGTTTGTCTCTGTGGACAGGAGTAACACTCACTGTCCAGCAGAGGGAGACGTGTGTGAAAATGAGCATGATTTTTGTCATGTTTGGAAATCTAGAATAGGAAATTCATCTGAATGGGCTGCAGAGGGATTCTCTGGGAGTTTCCAGTCTTTGTCAGAGGAAACAACCATTGTTTTCAACAATCCGCATTGAGATTTGATAAATGGTAATTGTGCTTTTTAAAACAAGTTTGTGATATTAACTTGCACCATGTTTTAATTTCCAGCAGCTAAAGGGCTGAATATATTCAGGAGAACAGTTTTTTCTACACTCTAAAAAATGCTGGGTTAAATAGGGACAAACCCAGCAATTGGGCTGTTTTGACCCAGCGGTTGGGTTACTACCCAGAAGGTTGGGTTAAACATTTAACCCAACCGCTGGGTCAAAACAACCCAATAGCTGGGTTTGTCCCTTTTTAACCCAGCATTTTTTAGAGTGTAGCATTGACATTTTTATTGTTTTTACTAAAAACTTAAAAATTCATTAATTCATTTATAAATTCAGTGTTACCTGACTGCTATAACTATGCTATAATTTTCCATTCAAAAGTGATAAAACCACCACACAATACCAAAGATCCACATCAGCACGTTATACCAGTTTTAGGCGGATCACATCTTTATTCCAGGACATTGATTTAATTGATTCACTGTTCATTCAAATATTTTTCAGATATTTGAAATCGGGGTCATATGATGCTTTTTTAAAGATCATTATTTGGTGTAACAGAATACATTTGAGTCCTTAATTGAAGAAACACCCAAATGTAAGTCATTATTTCTGCATGTGTTTGTGTATATAAATGTGTAGGTTTGTTTACCATGATTTCACACAGGCTTGTTCTGCTTATATCTGTACAAAGACTTCCTATTTCAAAGACATAAAAGGCATTCGCTGGATATAAACTTGCCAGTGTAGTTCCATAGTTTGACCTTGTAATTAGTCCATCCTGAAAAGCATAGGAAGTTTTAGTGTGTGAGGACTGAAGTC